AAGTTCCCCCAATGAGTCTCTCTGGTCCATCTGAGGAAATAGTTGATATTGGTTATGAGAAACTAATCTGTTGGGGAAGATATTGTGTTGTGAGTGTGGTGGATGCGCAATGGACCTAGTCCGTTCGTGACACCTCCCCCGCCCGGAATTTCCGGAACCAAATGCCGGGAATTCTGTGAGAGCAATCGCCACGCGCCACTGATTCGAATTTGAATTGTCCCTTTATGGAGAGGGGAGGAATCGACTAACGGGGAGCGCGCGATAGAGTTGGTCTTTTCTATCCGAGCTTTCTCGCTTCCGCGCGTTCCGTCACTTCTCAACACCTTGTCTAGGAAGAATGGCTGCCCTCCCGCCTCGTGGAAATGTTCTTGGCTTCCGGTGGTCCCCTAAGGGGCTACTTCTTGAGGAGGTATGCTATTTTGATTTGCGATTGATTCCGATGTTGGATTGATTGAGTTTTCGGTCGGTTTTGAGATTTTGTACAACACTCATTTATTCAAAACAAAATGCTTCTCGGCGTGCTCAGCGAGGCGGCACGCGGGTGCAACCGGGTCAGCTTGGTCTGGCCCGGGGGCTTAAATACTATGTGCCGCCGACCTGGCACTCCGAGCGGCTCATGTGTGTGCTGCGCCGACTTCGCTTGTTAGGTGAATCAGTAGTCCTCCAGGAGGGGGAGGTTCCTGTGGTACTGTGGCTAGGAACACGTAGGTTCCCGCCGGCCGCCCTCGACGTCGTGACGCGAGATCTGTGTCCTGGGCATGATCATGAATCTCGGCCCCCAGGGGGCAGGGAATTTTTTGAAGAAGTATCCCTGTACATTCGTGATGCTCGGAGAGCTCTGTCCCAGGGACGGTGAATAAAAAAAAAATTCATATTTTTTTTAATTGAATTTCGTTCTGATTTGATTTGTGCTTCTTAGGCTTCCAGGGGAATAACTTCCTGATGGGACGGTTGAGGGCCTGACCCTTGGCTGTTTTGATGAAACAGGATCTGGCGTATTCTGGTTTGATGTTCTTGGGGAATGAGGTCACTCTGCATAGAGGCCAGAGTGCTCTGTTGAAACTTTCTCCTCGGCGCAGACGTACGTCTCCGATTTTCAGAGGCCTTGCCGAGATTGGTTTCTGCTTATGGGCTATCTTGAGATATTGGAGGTACTCTTCATGGTATCGTTTCCAGAATGAGTTTAGGAGTCGTTGTTGGTACCTCCATCTCCTCGAGAAAATGACCTTGTCAGAGTCCGTTGATTTCTTGGGTTTCGAGAGGTGTTCTGGGATTTTTGTCTTTCCCTTGTATCCGAATAAGAGGTTCGCTGGGGTGAGGGCTTCCACTTCGTCTGCCCCTGAGGCTACCGCGGTGATTGGTCTACTGTTCACCATCGCTTCTATGCCTGAGATAATGATTTCTAGGTCACGGAAGTGTGGGGCGGCCGAGCCTAGGATTTTTCGGAATGGTCTTTTGACGGTTTGGACCTGTCTCTCGAAAAATGCTCCGAACCATGGGGCTGCTGCTGTTTGAAAGCGCCATTCGATGAATGAATTGGCTAGCCAGCGCTTGATTTCTCCATCCTTGATGTGTTCGTAGATGAGTTTCGGCTCTTTCGCGGCTCTCTGAAAGGAGAGACCGTTATCAGAGGTGATGGTTTGGACTGCGGGAAATCTTGGATAAATTGATAAATTTCTGCAGTGCCCCTAGGACTTCGACAGTGGAAAGATCTGTTGTCAGTTCGAGGTGGATTGCTCGGCTGACTGCGCAGGTGAAGAGTAGAATGTAGCTTTTCCCGACCTCGCCGGAGTCTTTTCTGTACCTGATCGGGCCCATGAAGTCGCATCCCGTGTGGAAGAACGGGGGTGCTTCTTCGAGTCGGAAGGGGGGTAGCGGAGGTGTCGGTAGGTTGGCAGCCTCGCTGTGGAAGATCTTGCAAGTCGCGCAGGAGTTGATCACCTGGCGAGTTATCTTTCTCGCGTGGATCAATAAGAAATCTTCACGCAGCAGTTGAAGGACCATATTCATTCCACCGAAGAGATAGCATCGACGTTCATGGATGTCCTGGACTATGAGTTTGGATAGATTGCAATTGCCTGGCAGTATGATTGGGAACTTCTGATCACCAGACAAATGGGGTGAGCGCTCTGAGCGTGATCTACAGCGTATGATGCCGTCTGTGTCCATGAAGGGGTTGTATTGATAAATGACCCTATTGCGTTTGATTGCT